CCTAAACCCCTCAGTCAACAGCCTCAGCTCCCAGAAACAGGACTAATCTGTGCACGGTAATATGCAATATCTGGGAAATCTTTCACTGTCAGATTACACTGTTCAAAGACCAGAAGTGCAATATTTTCAGTGTATCTACTTACTCTTAGGTGCCTCAAATCTACCCTTCCTTACTTTACACTGCGCATTTACCACAACCAGGGAAGTAAACTGAATAACAGTCATGGACATGATTTGTAAATCTAATGGTCAGCAGAAGAATGTAAAAAAGTCTTCGTAACGGTGGTATGCAAAATGAAAGGAGGTAAAGGTTTAACAGTGCTGTCCACAAACTAAAATTATGAAATATAACTATATGCTTAGAAGATTTTGAGAAACTTATGATCCGGATGAATTTGCCAGCTGAGTAAGATCTTAGATTCTCTTGGATGAAAGTATTACTCTTTTGTCCAAAACAACCACGAAAGTATGTGGGTAAAACATATTGTGTACAGGAAACCACATACAGGGTTGTTTGATCCCACTTAGTACAAAAGACTACAAAAGTTTCATTATCCATTAAAGACTGACTAAGACTGCCATTTATTTACATACAGTTCAACATTTTTATGGCAGTTGAAGTATTAAATAACTAATTACATTCAAGATAAATTAAGGAATTTTAAGAGATCTTATAGAACAAAGTAAGTCAGTTTAAAGATTTTGGAATAAAAAGGGAACAACAGTAACTCAATAAAACATAAGAAGTTGTGAGTTTCTAGAATACAAGTCAAAATCTGTATGTACATTTCTTCTTCCAGTCAGACACTACAAAAGTTCTTTTTTTCTACATTGATGAAATCCCCTTTCAGAGTAACATTTTCCATTTTAAAGTTAGGGCTAATGTAATCAACAGTGCAACCAAGCCCCACAGTTTTCTCAGCTGGGAAAACATATTGACAAATACTGGGTTAGACATTTTCAGAGAAAATAAACATCTGTGGAGAAAAGCAGACAATTATGCAGCAAATTAGATTAGCTTGGTTCAAAATATTTGATGAAGTTGATCTGAAAAACTGGCCTTCATGCTTCATCAGAATCTTACCAGCATCTTTTGTATATTCTCCCCATAATCATCATCTGGCAAAGTGCAGACAAGTAACTTAAGTTTTCCTCTAAAATACATCAATTAAGGACTACTCAGTTGTACCATCATGAACATGGAGGTTATAGAAAAGACATAAAATTTAGATTGCTAGTTAAGTTTATGTACAACCTGACTGTAGTTTTACTTTATTTCTGTTTATCTTGTAATTTTTCTTTTTCACAGATGACTTTTTCCACTGAAAGAAAACAAAAGACACTTTTAATACAGATCTTTACTGTGCCCATCTCTGAGCTATCACTTTTCTACCTAAAATCCTGCCACTATTGCTTCTCTCACTATGTCCTTGCACTGGCTTCATCTTAAACAAGACTGGTGGACAATTTTCTACCCCTTTTTAAATGACAACACAACTTTAGCACTATAGTTCTTTAGAAAGCCCAAAGTCCTGCACGAGTTCATGGTAAAAACTGCTCATGTTCTTCCTATAGCTCCCTATAGACTATTGACAAAAATTACTAACATTCCTGCAGTTCTCCATCTACTTGAGCACAAGTATCAAGCTCCTATAGCCCTAAAACAAAATTACATAGGCAGATATTATCAACTGAGTTTTATCAAGGACTAGGAGTCTGAAAAAATGAACTGTCACTATCTCAAAACCACTCTGTGACAAACGAAGACAAAAAATCAATCAGAACAACTCCAATCTTTCATCATCTTTTCATCATCTATTAGCAACTTTGTTTTCCCATTAAAACGACAGGTATAGATTTTCCTTTGTCCTCCTTGTATTTTCCATGTATTTAGATAAGTTTTTTCATTTTTTTTCCCTTTTTTTTTTTTTAAGGACATGAAGATTCCCATCCTCATAGAGCTGAGTATGGAGGAGTGAAGGACATGTAACTGACCACAGATGAGGAAGACGTGTGAGCTCTCCTTAGACCAAAACCAATCTGTTACTTGAGACTGTTGCCAGGGAAGCTGAAGAGAGAACACAGTTAGATCTCCCTAGGATTCACAAAGAGAAGCCCTTCACAGAGGAAAATGGCTCCAGACAGCTTAGGCAAGACCAAAAATGGGCAAAAATGCGGCTCAGTAGGGGAGATGAGAAAAGTAGCTACCAATATTTAAAACATTGCATAAAGAGGAGTAACGAAAGACTGGACATGGAAACTACTCACATTACCCCAGACCTCTTTGTACACCCAGACATTAGCCCAGTAAGCTGACATCTCCCTGGTTTGCTGACAGTGCTGACTTGCTACAGTGGAGACATCAAAACAGATGATCAAAAAATGAGCTGAGCTTGGAGGAACGGTTGAAACAATGAACAGAGGCAGCAGAGCACCAGTGTGATGTGATATTTGATATTATCAGGATTCATTAAAAAAATTTAAAGAATATTTAAAATTATTTTTTTAAAACATCCTTATTCTGTCCACTCTCTCCATGTAATATAAGCAGAAAATGGGGTGACAGCAATCACTGCAGTGTTAGTTTTTAACACTATGGAAACAATTGAAAAAGATCTTGAATAACTTTAAGTACAGTTGCTGAGATCTTGTATTTTCCTTCCTGACTGGGAGAGATTTGATAGCAGTTTCTCTGCACAGACAATAAAAGCAAGATGAATGAGTAGTAGATAAAAATCAATTAACAGCCCCTTCCCATCCCAAATATCAACTCCCAAAAGTTCAAAAAGAGTTTATCAATTTCATGCTATTCCAAAAATTTTTTCAAACTTTCATTACCTTGAATTTACTTTTCCTACCTTTTAAGTTTTAGAGGAAATAAAACTTTCAAGAACTGATAAAATAGGTAAGTTGTAACAACTGAATGTTATACAAAAATGGAAACAAGCTAACTAAAAGGTGCTAAGCAGGATGCAGACAGTAAATGATTTCTCCATTTACATTTCCCTTCTATATTTGTGTTACAAATATACAGAGGGTGAGGAAGTGCTTTTCTTACACAGAAAACCACCTTTACCCACATGATCACAAATCTGAGATAGGTTTATTTAATTCCCTTGCACATATCCTCAAGACAACCTTCCTCAGGCTGCTGAGCAATGGTCTCATGTTGAACCTTCACCTCCAAACTTGAGTATTTTCATTAATTGCTGTCTTTGACTTGCAGTGTGCTAGCAGGAACAAGCAGCTTTAAGTTTTCTAACACTACAGAATGCACCCATAGCAGTGCACTCGTGCAAAGAAAATCAATAAAGTGTAAAAAGGTAGTCTGTCACTTTCTGTTAGACACGAGAGCCAGAAAATCCAGAGCTGTCTTCTGTACTTGCTCTATAGTTAAAAATAAGCATTTCCAAACCAGCCCACTTGCAGCAAGAACCAAGAAAGCTACTTTTGATGGACTACAAATACTAGAAGCAAAAAAGACTGTTTACAAGCAGTAAGTTTTAATAGCAACATTTTGAAAAGGAAAAACTGAATATTTATTTTCTGAGTGTTGACGGTCTGTGTGCATTGCTCCCTCTAGTGTAAAAGATAGAAAACCACAACAAACATTCCCCCAAAAATCACTGAGCTTGGTAACAAACTTTTTAAAAAAAACATGATTCTCTATCCACATTTTTCGCCTAAATATTTATAACATACTTCCTCACATTTTGATACAAGAAAACACATTTACACATAGTTTCAACTGCTGATGCTCACAGTTCTATCAACAGGAAATGATCGTACCAGAACAGAGTAGTGAATGTGCAAACTTACACCCTGTATCTACTACTGTAATGTTCCCCAAGAAACTGGTAAGATAGAACGTGGTATTCATTTTTTTCTCTCCACTAGAATATTGTTTTCCATTCTATGTTACAGTTATTAATAATGTCATAGAAGAACCTGGTCTAAAATGTAGTGAAGCACATTCTGATATGTGCATATTCGTCTCACTACTGTATCTGATTAGGCCCTAGAATTTGGAAATAAAGCAGCTCTGGAGCTCAGACTTCTAAGTAGATATGAAATGCCTTAAAACCAAACAAGTCACACTGAAGACAGACAAGTGTGAGAAATTATTTTAGTCTACTTTAAATTATTTTAACCCAATCTCAGGAGCCACTGGATGATACTCAGCATCACAAGAGAGTATGGGAACAGCCACAGCCACTACTACAACCTTTTCTCAGACAGTATCTGGGAAGAACACCTGGGACAGCTTCCATCAGATACAAAAGAAAAACAAACTCGCCTTTAATGCCAGTTTCATCAAAAGAAGATGTTTGTTAGGATGCTAGTGAAGTTTTCTAGCTGAAAATTCTCCTAAGTCCGTACAGACATCTGTAAGATGAAGGCAGCATATTTTCCTTCTCCAAGAACTGATGGGTCTGTCTCTGAAGAGATGTAAAATGAAACTTAGAAGTGTGGGCAAAATTCAAACTAAATCTTTCACTGAAGGTGTGATTAAAAAAAATTGTTCAAAAATAATTAATGCTTTTTCCCCCTCCAATGTTACTAGTATCAGAAGCAACTGAGAATGTAGGAAGCCTTCTAACTAATCATTTTGCAACTGTATGTATACTTCTTTTGTACTGGGACTTCATATTTTACAGATTTCAACACTTATCATACAAGTACCAAACAATCATCTTTCAACTTCTATTGTAATGTAATTTCAGCTTTCCAAGGTCTAAGACAGAAAAAAAACATTTCTGTGTGCCAAAATGAGACTGTGAATCATTACCCAGTTTTACACACACTAAATTTGAGTATATTCTGCGGAACCAGCTTGAAACAAAATCTGGTGCAGGGCATTTTGTTTGAAGACCTTTAACAGGCAGTCCTAACAGATGACAAACGAATCTACTGCCTCAGTGTGGCCCAAATTAAGCTCCAATCCCTTTAAAAAGCACGGTTGTACAACAGATCGCTGAAGCCATGACACAGAAGTTCCATTTAAGGCAAACAACCAAATTTTCATTTTATTTTTCTATCTGACATTGCTGTTGTGGCTACCAGAGCAGTGCAGCTCAATGATGGTCCTTCCATGATACCTGCCATCACTGTTCTCCTTAAAACTGTGTTTCCTGTCAAGACTGAGAAAACTATTTGCTTGATCATTTATGAAATTTATCCAACTCATCTCTAATTATCAGAGTCCATCATAGGCAACTGGTCTCAGTTAACTACAATACCTACCATGCAAAGGGCTCAGTACGGACGATACTGCCATAATAGAACAATCGGCTTCTTGACCTAGTGTGTCTGTAACAGCTCAGTCATGGAGTAAGAAAATGGGCACTACAGCAAAATCTCAGGGGCTAAATTCAGGACAAAATTTACAGTTGAGAAAGAAATTTTATTTCAAGCTTCTACGGGGGTATTACAAACAATAGAGAATAAAAACATTAAAAACTATTTAAAAAGTAATTGTCCCTTTAAAATAAAGATTCAAGCAGGTTTAACAATGAAGTATGCTATTCAATGAAGTTTTAAAAAAAAGATTTAAAAAGTATTGGTTTTGCTGTATTTGCTAATCCTTTATAAAAAAGCTGGGCATAAATACTTCGTGCATTCATATGCATTATTTGGTGTTTCATATTATATAACTTGGTACAGTATTTACGATATCACTGCAAAAGAGTTCAAACACAGTGCATTTATAAATAATGGAGCCATTATAAATCACATTGCAAACATACCTTGCCATTTTCATTGTTACAAATTCAGTATCTCAGTGAAGGTAGGAATAAAGTAGCTACAACAATCAATATCTTGACTTTATTTTTTTTTCTTTTTAATATAAAAATGCAGTTCTGGAAACCCACCCTCCATCTTCCCCCTGCCCAAACATAATGCTTTACTTCTTAAAAATAAAAATAAAGTACTAATTCTATATACATCACATGTACCATACAAAAATGTATCCAAAGTTTCTATTGCTACCAAAGTGTTCTAAATTAAAAGTTACATAAATCCCCTCATTGGAAACAAAAGATTACAAGTTACCAAAAAACCAAATTACACACAAACCATCAAGTTATTTTTTACAATTTCCAATACATTTTTCTCCCAAAGCAAGTTGTCTTCTCATGTGCCTGTATAAAAATGCATATCAATATATTTGTCAATTTTATTTTTCATTATAAAGCAAATTAATACATTTTCTACAATAAATAAACACAGGGAGGCACACATATCAACAAAATTAAATCAACAGGAGATAAATGGGATATGGTTTTGAAAGAAATAATGTGCTTGCAGGCTTTAAGCCAGGTTTGTTTAAAACAAAAACAATCTTAAGTTATTTTGGGCAACAATGGAGTGTTTTTGGTGATTTGCAAGTGATGTACATAGTATAATTTTTATTGATGTCTTTCTCACAAAGTACCCTCCAAAATAATGTAACTTCCTTTCTTAAAATACATATTTGTAATTGTAAATTTACATCAATCTTAAATATGTGGTACTTTGTGCAAAGAGCTACAATTTACACAAACATTCAGAAGTCTTTTTCAGAAGCTACAGACCAAGGAAGAAATGATACAAGCAGCACCATACTGTATATGATTTAGGCAAACATATATTTGATGCCATTTTGATATTAGGCTTTAAGATCCACTAAACACCTTAAGCTGGAAGATGGTGCTTAGGTAACTTAACCTCAGAAAGAAGGAAAAAAAAAGTAAAAAGCATGGAAACAGAAACCAACTCCCTCCCCAGCAAAATTATAAAAGGAATTAAAAGAGCTACTTCTAAAATCAGAATAAGTTAAGTGTTGAATATACATTTATGTACAATTATGAACACTATGAACAAGACATTTTAACAGGTTTAGTGGAAAATCCTCCAATCTACAACACAATAAAATAATTCATCAATATGGCAATGGTGATTTAGAAGAATTGCTCAACTATTTCAAGTTTGCAGAACTCAGCCACTGAATCAACAATTAAGGGGTTGTATCTTCAATACATTCTTTTAGACAAAGAGGTTCATTAGTAGAGTTCAAGTCTGTGTGGTATTTTTCATGCCTTGCTAGAATCTCTGCTAGTCAATATCACTGAAGTCACTGACTGGCTCTCCATGGACTCGACTCAGGTGATTCATAGCACGATCAAAAGCAATTCTTACTGCTTTTCGTATGCTTGAATTACGTCCTTCCATCATTTTTAACTTGTCTATGGTCTCATCTATCCCAAGGGGAACCATTTTGGATTTGGGAAGCCACTGCCTGTAAGAAAGGGTAAAATAAAAGTTACATATAGAATAAAATCAAGAAATTTGTCCAGAAATGTCAGAGCTACTATTCCATGTTGCTCACACAGAAGATCAGCTTTACTATATTAAACAAAATGATAAAATACCTTTTAAGATAGTACTTACCTGCCTTAAATATTTAAAGAACGTGAAATATTAAGAAAGTCTCTTCCACAAAACAGAGAATACATTCCAATTCAATGGTTTGTATTTAATGATTAAGTATCAACCGAAAAAAATTAGCCTGAAATACTGATGCAGATTAAGAATAGGCAGCAGCAACTAACAATGGACATAGCTCAAGATTCACCTGATACAGTATTGTTTCTCCTCATTCTTTTATCTCTATTATTACAAGGAATTTTCAGCTGATGAATTTTTGCCTTACAATTAAGACATCTCAATTTGGTCTTTATGGGGAAGATGAACTGGCAGAAATTTCTGCTTACCATGCTTTTACCCTGCAATATGAAATCCCACTGACTCCATATTCAGGGTACTTTCCTGCTTTAAGCTCAAATTTTAAGCTCAATAACTTCAAATTTTTGGCATAGAGGAATGATAATGGAAAAAGGTCTGCACCCCATTCTTCTAGTTAAGGAAAAAGCACTCTAAATATTTACTTAAAAGGTATAAATTAAATTTACTTCATGTCATAACTGCTTATCATAATCCTATTAAGTTACAGACATTAAGGAAAATAAAAATTAGGTAAAGTAATGAATATTTATTAAAGTATGTTACTGTAGTCTGCAACCCCAGTCCTACAAATGGCAATGATGTAGCAAGATATAGATAAATGTTAGACTATTACCTTTAAAAAAACTGTTTAGCCAAAGAAGCAATTTTATCAGGTCAATAAACAAAATTAGCTTGTAAATAAAAAACAAAAGACTGTTTACTGACTTATATTATTTTCTTCCAAACTGACCAAAAAAGATATCTTTCAGTGATGATATGTCTTGGTCCAAAAATAGACTCAAATATGAAACTTTAACATTAGTTTATACTTCCATAGGAATGATTTCCATGGAAAGACAATGTTTCAGTTTTCTTCTAGACTAAAGGTACAGGTTCTTAAAACTTTAAGTCACTGCATCAAACAATGCATTTCAATAACATACCAACTTCTTTTGTTGTCAAAAAATAGTACTAAGAATAGTTTTTCATCTGATTTGGTCTGCATTTGTTCTCCAATTTTCAGTACATCCAGAGGTGGCACTGGTATAGTAACACCGTTGTGATGGCCAGCAACACGAGGCATCTTAGGGTCAATAATCTATAAGAGAGAAAAAAGGACAGTTCATAATATTTAAAACTACATAATTTATTTTAAGAAGATATTACAAATAAAGTTAATGAGAAAAGAATCATAAACTAAACAACCACTGTATGTAAACTGACTTTGTGTTACACAACTTTTTGACATAAGTTGAATAGGCATAGTAGAGGCATAGTGGTAGATTTAACTGAAAACACTGAAAAAAGCATTTTTTTAACCTGTATCAGTTCTTCTTGAAGTCCCATTTGAATTTCACTTAATACAACTTTGAGAGTGACAAGCAGGTTTCAGAATGAGGAAGCTGAATCAGGATTTCTAAAAGGCATAACTGGCCTCAAATTTTGGAGTCTGAATTTCATATACCTTAAAGGAACAACCTATCTTAAGGTGTAAGTATTTCTGCAAAATACAAGCTCCATACTCAAATTCTGGAGCAAAAAATTAAAAAAAAACCAAAAAAACTAACAAAAAATGAGATACCACATTCAATTTCCAATTTAATGACTTAAGTCTTCAGCAAAACATGCAGTTGTAGCCAAATTCTTTGTTGAGAAAGGTTGAGGGAGGGGGAAATATGCTGCTAACATTAAACTAATCATGCTGATGGAAAAACTCCTCTGTAGGTAGATCATAGCAATATGAAGTGCTCAGGTTCCACCAAAAAAGCGTTACGTTACTCCATGCCTATTCCACTCATCTACTCAACAAACTCCACACAGGCACAAATCACAATCCACAGTAAACTGATCATAGGAACTACATGAATAGAAAGCTAACACTGTGGGGAGCTCATAGAACCACAGCTTTCTTCTCTTGACTGAGGTTTAATTCCTCAATGAACTCATCCCACTCTCAGAAACACCAGTGCTGACATAAAGAAGTAGGCAGAAAAGGAGTCCTTTCGTCTTGATCAGCTCAAATCTAGTGCTAACACCATTCAAGAGACAATCAAATAATCAAATTTTTAGCATCTGACCCAAGAGTGTTTGAGTCACCCACTGAGGGCACTTTAACTCAAAGTGCTCTGAATGTCACCTCCAGAGGTTTTAACCTTACTCTGGCATGATTACATTACAGCACATACACATAAGAACAGTCATGACTCTCCAGTCTACTATATAAATCAAGTCAAAGTGTATGAACTGTTTCTATAACCCCAAATGCCTGAAGCCAAGCACTTAATCAGCAACATTTTCTCTGAAAGCTTTGATGTAAGTAGAGTTGTGTCTATTTCTCCTGTAATAACTTGAACACAACAGCTTCAAGTTTCCGGTACATCATTCACAACCGGCTTCAATCATTTATTCCAACTCTACCAAGTGTTTTGTTTCTTTACTGAACTGCAGGATCAAGAGTATTTTTATACTCATTTTGCAGTAGAAAATATCTTATAATTCCAGCACTAACAAGATGTCTGTCAAATGCTTATTCAATTGATCCTTTAAATAATAATGTACAATGCAGAAAAAAAATACTGAGAGAGGTGCACTGGTTTAAACTCAGACAGGTAATTTTCTTCACAGGAGGTAGCATGGGGCTATCTTTTGGATTTGTGCTGAACACAGGGTTGATAATACAGAGATGGTTTTGTTATTGCTAAGCAGGGCTTACAAAGAGCTAAGACCTCTTCTGCTTCTCACACCACTCCACCTGTGAGGAGGTCGGGGGTACACAAGGACAGCCAGGACAGCTCAGATCAACTGACCCAAAGGATATTCCATACCATATGGCATCATGTTCAGTATGTAAAGAGGGGGGAAGAAGGAGGAAGGTGGGGACATTCTAGAGTGATGGTGTTTGTCTTCCCAAGTAACCCTTCCATGTGATGGAGCCTTGCTTTCCTGGGGATAGTTGAACACCTGCCTGCACATGGGAAGTGGTGAATGAATTCCTTGTTTTGCTTTGCTTTTGTGTGTGGTTTTTGCTTTACCTGTTAAAGTGTCTTTATCTCAACCCATGAGCTTTCTCACTTTCACTCTTCTGACTCTGTTCCCCCTCCCACCAAGGGAGTGAACGAGTGGGGGCACTCACTGTTCAGTGTGAGGCTGAGCTGCCAGCTGGGGTTAAACCACGACACATAAGTATTGCACATCTCCAAGGATGGGCAGGGTAGCAGAGATTATTGACTTAAAATCTGATACTGCAGTAATTTTACAAACTCAATGCATGGTAAAGCAGACAGAATAAGCCACGTTCATTCAACCTGAGTGCGAAATTACCAATTACCTTAAGTTCATGCACTGTGTTTTCAGACCAGAAACAGTATCAACAGCATACTTATGAAAGCTGTGTACTTACCAGAGCTGGGTAAGAGGGATATCCGCTGCATTTGGCCCATACTACTTTCAGAGGCTCAAGAACAGATGTTGCAGCATCAGTTGAAATCCACATACTGCTATGCCCAACTTCTAAGAACAAATAAATATACAATTAAAATGTTCCAGGATGAAACTTTAGACAAATCTTCTGCAGTTCTTGGTTTCCTCAAACAGCTCATGATCATTGGAATCCAAATATCAATATCACCTTTCACACACATACCAATAAAAAGCAGGTAGTGTTCATAACAGCTCTTTACATGATACTAGTACTTTAATCCCAGCCTACAGATAAAGAACAATGGTTTAGACACTTCTAGAAACAGCATATCTTAAAACATCTTAGTTCTTAGAAAGCATTTGCCAAATTCTAATAATCTTTTCCCTTTGAAAAAGCTCAAAAGAAAACATAAAATTACAGTACTCCGAATAACCAGTTTCTTTTAAAACTATGACAACCCTGTCAGAGAGGTGATGCAAGTTGCATGGTTTGTGTCGAAAGTGCTGGATATCCATAGAGAAATCAGCACCTGATAACTTGCAAGGCTTGTCTGGTACACCTATCTGTTTTTATGCCTAAATTCTAACCTGCATTTTAATTTCTATTTATTATTAACAAGCCCTCCAGGTCTCTCTACCCTACCCTTTCCTACAGTAAAGTTCAAAAACATCAACAGGGTTCCAGGAAGCAGCTGCACTAGTGGTTTATTTCTTCTCATGAAGCAACATAATAGACAATTGAGTTTATGTTACTGCACACTTCTACCAGAATCCTCCATTTTCTTCTCTGTTGCTCACCACCGGATTGAGGCCTTTCAGCTTTAAGCCTTTCAGTTGACCAAAACCACAACTGGATATAGTCAAGAGACTGGGCAAAAGCCAGTGAGTTGTACCCCCAAGATGGAATTGGGGGTGAGTGGTCATCAAAGGGTAGAAGGTTATCAAAGCTCATATGCTGTAAGATGAGGTGGTACTTCTTGTATGGGGAAATGTGGTACCAAAATACAGTTCAGAGGTTGCAGTTGCACTTCCTCTTAGCAGTAAGGCAATACTTGACAGAAGTAGCTCTTTACTTGCCAAAACATAATTTACTCCTCAATTCTTCTCAATCTGCTCTTATTTAAAATGGGTATTCCTTATTTATAATGAAAGATGGCATGCAGATACATGTTCTATTTCAACATTACAAATAAGAACTGGGGGAATAGAGTGGTTTAAGACTTGGTAAGAGCAAGAAAAAAAGTGTTTAAAGCCATCACATAAAAAATTTTGTTCAACCATTCTCTGCAATAGGTTGCTATTTCTCTGCTCTTCTGTTAGTAACAGTTTGTAAAGTATTCACATGCCAGTCAGAAAAGGCCATGAGGATATAGATTAATGCATCCTTCACTCACAGACTATTTTGAAAAATATATATGTAGAACTGTATCTGGTACATAAAACCAGTACAAGGTCTCTTCTTCAGGGCAGCTAACAAGAGAGAAACCTACACTATTCTCAGCTGCAAAGAAAATGGTATTTTAATGTTGAGTAGGTCATACACAATCTGACAGGATGAATGTAGCCAGACTCAGAGACTTCTCAGGTGTATACACAGTTTCTGAAGTGATATCACTGTCACTTTCAGAATGCCTAATGTACTTAAGTAGTGAAAATAAGACTGTTAGAATCTGTCAAATAAATGGACAAAATCATAGTTATACAATACTATTAAGAATACAATTATTTATAGTTACCAGCTGCAATTCTTGCTGCTTTGGCATAGTTTCCATTTTCAATGCATGATATCAATTCACTTCGGTCTTCCAGTGTGTGTCTCCGTATCAAGGCAGGTTTACCTTTACCACACTTCGGTAGGCTGAAACTACAAAAGTATTAATATTAAGCCCATTACTTGATAATTAACATTGTTCACTATGAATTGAAACTTTGAAAAAGAATTTAAATTTCATCAGTACAGAATAAAATTAGAGCAGCAAGTTCTAAAAAAATGCTATGTAACAAATACAAACAACACTGTAAAAGCCAAACTCCTGATTATTTTCATGCATAGAATTGCCTGGCTATCATCAAAAGACAAACAGTATGCAACTGCACCTCAACTGCTGTACAGGTTGAGAGACATGCACAAATGACAGAAGTTGCTCTATTTTCCAGTGTTACACTGCATACCGGACAAATGAAAACATGTTCCCCCTGCTCCAACAGTTCTACTACATAGGAAACATAACTATTCTCTCTTTAATTTTTCACTACAAATTCAAGTCTTTTCAATTGTGAAATGTCTATACACACAAAATGGTAAATTTGTTCTCTGCATGCTTGAATTTTAAGAAATCATGGAATCTGAACAATAACCTGAATTCAACAAAAGAATACCAGCAATGCTGAAAGGTGGCTCAAACCTGACACAACTGAGAAAATTTTCCAAAAGATTTTTTCAAAAATTTATGCAATCCACTCCACACACTCCAATATGGGTCACAAGCAATACAGAAAACTGACATATTCAGTCTCAAATTTGTATTTCAGATTTATAGTTTTACCTTGAGTTACACAAGAGACTGTTACTAGATGAAATACTAGATTCTGATGCACAGCGGCGACGAGGTTCAACTTTTCTTCCTGGAGTATCATCTAATGCTCTCTCTTTACTTTCATCTCCAAAGCCATTTGACAGACCTACAACATAACACAAAAAATAAACTGCATCAAACTGGAAACCCCACCATTCTCATTAACAACTTTTTGTATTCACACAATGTATCATTATTGTTCTGTACTTCAAGTATTCTGGTGTGATGAAAAAGAACATGAATATTAACAAAATATTCAATTTCAAGGCACAGTATTATAAATAGGGGGTTCCTGTTGTCCAGATTTTAAGGACAGAATGAACATTTAGCTAATGTAAAAAAAACCCAAAAAACAAAGATTATAACATGGGAAATGCCAAATGGAGTATCAAAACAGTCTTTATATTTAATGTTTTCAACCCTTTAGACAGTCAGGTTGCCGAAGCTGAGTAGAAAAAATCCCAAGAAAATAAATTGTTACAAACCAGGCAGCTTTGCCAGGGTATGACAAAACTCATTTGAATAAGATGCTATAATCACTAAGCCAAGAAATACTGAAAATCCTTTTCAAATACTGGAAGTAAAGACTGGTATGGATTTCCTCATCATGCTGTCTTGTTTTTCCTGGAAGTCTTTCCAATTTAGTAAATTCAGACTGACATGACAATTTCTGTTTTCTGTGACCAATAACCAATAATATACATGTTACTGTTCTTAACTAGCCTTCCCCTGGCACAAGTTTATATACATCCAAGGATATTATATTTTAATTCCATAATTGCAATGAAAATATTCAAAAGGCTTTTATATTACAAGCTACTGATTTGATGGGCTGCTGCCAATCCTGCTCTGGGTTTGCTCATTCACAAACAGTATAGTCCTTATTAAGCCATTTTTGTACTTGATTAAAGAGCCAAATGAAGAATTTTTTAAGATAGCATTCTGAAGACTTTCCAGGATGTGTGAGGGTGACTGTGTGGGTGTAAACATTGGAACTAAAAAGGAAAGAATCCAACAGAGACTCTAGAGTATCATCAGAAATGCACTGGTTAAAGGCAATGGTACTAGCCTGCAGTCAGCTACTGTAAACTGCAGGCTACTAAGAGAAACCTTAACAAATTTAATTCTGAGCACACCTCCCACAATGCAAGAAAGAGCTACTGGTGCCAGCCATCCTACTACTGCCAAAGTCTTGAACATCATCATGATCTTTGTACATTCAGAAGTAGTCAAATAAGGGTATGTACCTTCATGTGCCCCTTCACAGTGCGTTCTATATAAAACAATTATGGCAGAATTGCCTCTATTAAGTTTAATTCTTCCAGTCTGTTTGCTACAAAGACCTTTGTAAAGAAGGGTGACCACTAAGAAACTTGAGGTTAGCAAGTTACTTTCTACAATCCAGTCGTTTATCAAGGCATTTCCATACAGTGACTTAAGGGATTTTCCCCTCCACCCCAGGAGACCTTCCATTTGGATTATCAACACAATTTTACATTTTTAAGAGAAAAAGGAGAATTTACTCATGTTCTGAGAGATTTTCAGGTAAGCATTCTCTTTTATTGTCACTTAGTTGACACTGTAAACATTCATTTAAGTGTTTGTTTTGTAACTCCCATATTTGCCTTTGATTTCTTACAGAAAAAAATGATAAAAGTAGTATTGTCCTGAGTGTCAAGCACCAAACTACACGACTAATTTTGTTTTCACTCTCAGCAACTTGGTAAAAATAGCTGGAGATTAAGGAGGAGTTCAGTCCTAGACTATGTGGAGACTTGTCAAAAGAGTATGCTTTATGAGAAAGCTTAAATTTCCCTATACACTATCACAGTACACTTCACACGGCATCTGAAATGAAAAGGTGAATAAAGATTCTGCAAAGGAGATCTCTTAAGTCTCTGCAAATAACTATTTTTTATTCTTCAATATCCTGTTAGATTTATTTTTCAAGTAAGGTGTATAAACTGTTTTGTTTTCATCCTGCCACAAGCGGGAGACACATTACTCAAGTTATCATTCAGGCACCTAGCTAATATGAATCAGCTGTCAGCAGAAACAAGTCAGATCAAGTAATGACTACTACCAGAACCAGGGCACAGCTCAGGTTCCCAACAAACTGTGAAAGTGGAAGGTGTTTCAGTTATTAAACTGTTCTTATCTCAACCTACAGGTTTTACTCTTTTCTGATTCTCTTCCACATCCCATTGAGGGAGGTAGGAGTGGGGAAGTGAGTGAGTGTGTGGGTGGTACTTTGTTGCCAGCTGGGGTTAAACTATGACACGTGGGGAAAAAAAAAAATTTTTTCTGACAAATAAGGAATATTAAAGTGCACAAGAATTCAGAACTTCTCAGACATATTTGTCTCTTGCTTGTGGAAGTATGAAAAGCAAAGTACATACAGGTTATCAGCAGGAGTAATCTTCCTGAGTATCAAGCCCCAAATGATAGGAGCTTACACAATCTGTAAGACTCAAGTTTATACAATTCATGTTTCAGAAATTATAGGGAATAGGCATTATTTTAAGAAAAGAAGACCTCAGTGCTTACTTGAAACAAACACATACATATCTAGTCACAGATGCAGCAGTTCCCAAGTGACCTTGTAATCCAGGCAATAAAATCTAAGTGCTTCATGGTAGTAGCACTGATGTGCAAAAAAAAAAAATAAATCAGATATTCTACATTTATATTCTACAGTTTGGAATTTGGTTTCTTTTAGATCACTACAAAACTCTTTTCTCTCATGAATCACAAAACACAAAATGTCCTGTAGCTGTTAGAAAAAGTGAGATTAAAGATTTCCATTTGCTTTAAGGAGTTTGCATTTTATTGAATCAGTAGATATTACTAACAAGGTCAAATAAAGAAAATCCGTGGGAGAAGTAACTCATCTTGCTTGCAACTTTCCAAAAGCTTATGACTTTGTTAGATCAAATGAGCTTTCTCTATAGTCGTGGAGTGAAACCATGTCAGGTACTGAATTCTTACACATACTCCCTCAGCAGCATCCCTGATTGATAACAATTCACCCCCATAAGAAGTCCTAAAGATCAAACTAAAAACCTTACATTAGTGGATAATTACTTTTTCTTTTCCTCTCTGTTCTTAAGTTTCTCCAAAAAAGCAGTCCACTCTCAGAGGCAGAATTCAACTTTTTTCAATTTAAAAAAACCCGGGAATTCACAAATAACAAAGCCCACTATCAATCTTAAATGCAGGGTTACTGCCATTTCTAATCTTGAGTTCAACTTCAATTTACATGGAAAATTTACTTCCTTGTCAATCATGGCATATAAAACATTTCAAAAATAAAGAAATGATAACTAAGAAGAAAAAAAAGTAAGGCAAAGATGATCAGCTTGATAATTTTCCACAGGTCTCTAACTGTGCTGAAAACTGTACTTATCAGGTAAAGTTTTAACTTTTTCTCAACAGTAGCAGTTTGTTCTTAAACTGCAATTAAAACTTTCACTGACTACCTACATCAAGCAAATTAGAATCTTGTTGCCCACACCAAATCAATGGAAGCAGGAAAAGGTAATTCCCAAAAGACAGCAGAAGTTTGGAAAAAAAGAGAGAACAAAACTCAGGGTAGTCCAAAGAACAGCATAGCATTCTCCATGAACGTACAGAATGCTGCCACAGAATACAGAATTGTCCATTTCAGACTATAATCACACCTTATGGTTCTGCTGAAGTAAATATAAAGAAGCGAAACTTGTACAAAATCATTCTAAAGCAATTAAAACTCTACTATGCTTGATGAAAACCAAGCATACCCAAATGTAAGATGAAGTGCTGTACTAAAACTAGAGCTGAATAGCTGAGATTCAACCACTAAAAACATTGGGAGCATTCAAAAAAATGGCTGTACACAGTGCGCCAGCACTTACATGACACTATTTAGGTTCATTTTACCAAGTAAGGACTAATCAAGCCCTGACTTGTGCACTTACCCAGAACCAGTGATGTTAGTCTTCATTAAATATATATACATTAAAGGAAAACGTATTTTATTAAAATAAACTTTTTTTTGTATGTTTCACTTCTCCAAGGAAGACAAGACTGTTTTTTTGGGGGAAGGGAAGAGGATGGAGACGCAGCATTCTTAACTAATCTGCTGTCCCAGAACATGTTCTGGGAATAAGAACGCTGGGACTGGTAAAACTCTGCGACCAATTTGTGTCACATATACTACAACACGTACAACTTTGTAACTTACGGAAATGGGGCAATATATTGAATGAAGAGCATAGTTTCATATATGCCAAAGACTTCCTCCAAGAGTGTTCATTTCTATTTTTTTTTTTTTTGTTTTAAGGATGGGTGGTGTCTCCAACATGATCCAAAATAATTACTTCAAATGTAATTGTCTTTCTGCGTTCCAAAATGATCATTTAATTGAATTCCATTCCATGTTGAGGATAATAGAAAATAATTAGGATCCAAAGAGATAAATACCCAGCATGATATTAGTTAATATGAGAACCTGGAAGACAGTGAAAAAGCCATTAAGTCTCTCTGAAAGGAAACAGAGCTTTCAAATAAATAAGCCATCCTTTACAGCACCGTCCAGAGACAGTGAGAATGACACAAGTGTCCCATGTATTCTAACACTAATACTCAGCTAAGATTTCAAAAGAGACAACCTAAATAAAAAGTTTCACTTCGATTTAGGCCTCCTTCTTGAAAAAGAAAATACTGAAAGTCATTGAAAGCACAGAATACAACCTCCACATGCATGATATGCATCAAGAACACGGTTTAGAAATGTATCTAAAAATACCTCCAGTAAAAGTAAGAAAGGGGATGCCACGGATTTAAGGGGATTTATATATGCACAGACAAGATAAAGGAATACTTTAAGGTAATAAATAATCAGAAGTTACTGTATTCTTAAAAATGCAAACCTTGAAAATGGGCATAATGCAGCAATAGGAAGGCATCCATAAAGTTTTAAAAAGTGAATCTTAGAGTAACCCTATAAATGTCTACTTCAAACAGTAAATCTGGAGTGCTGTAAGAATATTAGACACAATTCTTTTCAGAATACACAGATGAATGTCTGAGCACGTCAAAGTTTACAGTACTTAAAACAGTCTTCAG